CATAAACACAGTGAAGCTGGAGGATGAACGCTAACTTTTATCCACTCGATAAAAGTTAACGTGAGGGTTCCCGATGGTGTGGGACAAATGCAATCGCAAGGCAGGATGCTGTAAACAGACCAAACTTCAGTCAGGAGAACAACTATAATCCATCCACAATACGAGGTTAGTCATTAATATACTGCAACAACATGGGAATAGAGCAGCTGCGAGAAAATTCAACATTAATGAATCAATGGTACGGAAGTGGAGGAACAAGAAGAATGAGTTGAGTGAAGTTTGACATATCTGACTGTTTTGTTTTGCTTAATGCATCTTATAATTCGGTGCGCCTTATGGTCCGAAAAATATGGTAGTGCAAAAATATTGTTTTACACCTGTCAAACAGTTCTATTGTTGGCACTTTACATACAATTGACTAAATAAATGGGAACAAATTATATGTTTCGCAACAGTGCTTTTTATATGCTCGAATGATTCATAAGTGAGTATGTTGTGGCGAATCCACTTAGCCAAAAAAATGGATCGGACATCAATTGTAGAAACGATAGTCTTTATATAAGGCTTCAAAAAGGGGAATGTACAACAAATAAACTGCTCGACATCAGAGCAACATATAATGGCTTCCCGAAAACTTTCTTCTTGCTAGCTAAAAACCCAGAGTAACTTTCGTCTACCACAAAGGATTCTGGGAAATGCCGTTTTCTAATGAAAATACCTGTTAAATGCTCCCCTTTAGCAGAAAATTTAATCTATAATTAACAGCTCTCACTAAACATGTGACTAACACATAAATCACTTACAAAATAACCAAAATGCTGTTATCAAACAATAAACTGCAATAAAGTTACAACAGAGTATAAAAGTGCTTTGAAAACTATAAAAAAAAGCAAATTCTTCTTAAAATGATGAAGCACAAGAACTGGAATGAAAGACTTTAAAAAACCTTCAAAAAGCCTGGAGAACTATTAATCTAGACCAGGGGTGTTCAACTCCAGGCCTCAAGGGCCGGTGTCCACCCTGGGTCACCACACTTGAATCAAATGATTAGTTCATTACATCTGGAGAACTACAAGACAAGTTGAGGAGGTAATTTAGCTATTTAAATCAGCTGTGTTGGATCAAGGACACATCTAAAACCTGCAAGACAATGGCCCTTGAGGCCTGGAGTTGGACACCGCTGCTCTAGACCACTTTAAAAATGTAAAAGAAACCCTGGCTCCTTGGAAGAAAAAGTCTGAAGCCAAGCATTTAGAAAAGTCTGAAGCCAGAGGTACTTGGCTGGAGTTGACCACAGTATTTAGTTAGTTTAGCTAATTTTTCCATGTTTAATTTGAGAAGTCATAAATATATCTGTATGTACATGACAGTAAATAAGGTTCCCCTTAGTCTTGTCAATTAAACAAACCACTGTTGTGTGGGATTGAATGTTGGTTAACTGTTGTTTTCTTGAGGGAAAGAAGTGTCTCTAAGAATGGCTTATACTGGCTCTATCAGTGAATTCTCAGCATGCTGTTACACCCCTGCCTTGTCAACAGTCATGCCAGGGGCCACGTTCCTCCTCTTCATCACTCTAGTGTGAATCTCCCTGAGCGTATTTGTCATGAAGCCTTCATCTCTTTCAGTGTCTGCCAAAAGCTGAAGTTGGAACTAACCTCAAAGTGAGCCAGAGCTCTGGCTGCCTGCTGTAGTGTATGAGGTGGTTTGCGTACCTTGGGCTCTGGTTTCCCCGTCATTTTCTTGAGCAACTCGTGGAGGTGTGGCCAGTTGCCCTGGGAGTACCAGCCGGGTTTGTCCAGCGACGGCAGACCTTCGCTCTCCTCCACATCGTTCACTGCACAAGCAAAAATAGGTAATATAAAACAGTCGCAGCAGTTTGACCAACAAGCCAGCTGCTGCAGGAGCAGACACCCCAGCAAAACCTCCAGTAATCCAGGACAAAACCACACAACTCAGTGGCAGAGGTACAGCGTCATTTGTGCAGGAAAACAAAGAGTAAATCTCAGTGTTTGTGAAAAAACAGAACAGGGAAGTACAAATAGCATCTTATCCTCAGCTCTAATTTGTCTTTTAAATTACTATATGATTCTTTACTAGGTCTTCAGAATCATTCAACCTTTTAACCCTCTGAGTTGATCATAGGTTGTAAATCTAACCCCAACACGACCCTCACCCTCTATTTCAAAGTCCAAAATTGACTTTTTTGAAAAAAGTTGGAATAATTATTTTCTTATTTCCCCAATTGCCAAAATTTGGGAGAGGGTTCTAATAAAAATCATGCAACCATGAAAAATGACATATTCTGATAGCCCAAGCTAAGATTTTGAGTTTGGGTTGCGACTGATGAGGATGTGGACCTCAGAGGGTTAAATTACAGTGCTATTAATCGGGCTAGATTTGCATCTCTTCAAATGTAATTTTCTCTTTTTTGACATACCAAAATGTTAGGCTTAACCATGGATAAGCCCTAAACCTGAACTATACGACCACAATTCATGTAAGAACATACAAATTTCATAACGCACAGACCTGACTGTTAGCTCTTTGGTCTATATTTTTGTTCTGTTTTGAGAACTACTGCATACATAGCTAATATTTCACGGATTTCTAGATATGCCAGTTGTTAGTGTTGCAACAATGTACATTTATTTGTAGGCAAACACAACACTCAAAGGTTTCGCTTCTGCTAGTGGATACTGACCCTGAACCAAACTGTGTTCTACGAACTCTAAAATGCCTACTATTGTGGAGCGGACACACAAACAGGATGGACTTCTTCCAAGAGTTACAAGAACGATGAAAGGTCTATAAATTTTCTTGCAGCTTAGGGTAGTTTAATTTTTTTTGGCACACAACCCTGCACCACAGTTGTCGCCTATCTAAAAAACACAACATTCATTAGTTTTATCAGACATTGTTGGAGACACAATATGTCCTTTAAGAGACAGCTTGAAAATGTTCAAATAAATAATGACAAAGATGTTCATGTATAGGTAAAAAATGACAATCGAAATGGTAGAAAACCTCTGATGTTTCTGTTTGGTTTAGTTTGGTAACTTGATTCCAAGTATTCCATGACTCTACAAAGACGTGAGCTGCTGTTGATAGAAACTGCATTTCGGCAGCCCTTATCTCAGCTCAGAATGAAGGGGAAAATCAGACTACGAAAATGATCTACAGCTTCCTATAGATCATTTTCAATAACTGACTGTTTGAGTTTAAATTGTAAAAAATAAATGTGTAAAATTACAGAAAATATCCTGTAATTTTACACATTTATAGTGTAAATATTTCATATAGTTATAAAAGCTAATTCACAGCTTTGAGTATGTCGTTTCTTACAGTTTTTTTTTTGCTAATATATATTAAGTTAAAGCTAACATAAGGATCTAAATAGTTGGGTAATGGAGAGATTTAAATTTTTTAAATAAATCTGCTATCATGTCAAAACTTGACCGACTTTGTGAAAATGCAAACGTGCAAAAAGAAAACTTTCTGAAGCTGCTGTATACTGTATGACTGTTTAACTTTCTGCAGTAAGCCTCCTTAGTCAATCTAAACAATGGCAAACGCTCGCTCCCTGTTGGAATTTACAGACTCCTCTCTGTGAAGCAGGATAGATGGCTCACTGCATCTAAAACCCAGCAGCAGCATAATGATAAAAGGAGTCCTTCACCCTCTGCGATAAAAAAGACAGTGTTCCACAGAGCAAGTTCAAACTCAGGTTAAATATGCTAGAAACATTTTGACAGGAGAGAAAAAACAGTAAGACGAGGGATGAGCACCTGAACATCTGGGAATCCTCATGCACACGTGTATACTCAGCTGCAAGGACACTGGGCTATGAGAGTGATGGGGTCATGTGGTTTGGATTCAGAGCAGTGCAAATGGTGCAGCTGAGATAAGCAGCAGCTCTTAAGAAGTCCTGTTTCTGTAACACCAGTTTTTTCTTTCAGACTTTTTAGTGTTTCATAATGTGACACTTTCAGTTTCATGTTCATTTATCCTGTCATAGTCAAGCCTAGATGGATCTTCATGGATAGAAAAACAGAGGACTTGCATTAAGGTACACTCAAGAAAAGAAGGCCAGATAACAAAACATTTAAAAGAAACTGACGAATTTGAACAGATAAAACTATCCTGTCCCAGAATGACAGGCTCTTTACACTACATTCAGTCATTCACCCATTTACACACAGGTGATGGCAAGCTACATTGTAGCCACAGTGGTGCACTGACAGAGGTGAGGCTGCTGGACACTGGCGCCACCGGGCCCTCTGACCACCACCAGTAGGCAACGGGTGAAGTGTCTTGCCCAAGGACACAACGACCGAGACTGTCCGAGCCGGGGCTCGAACCGGCAACCTTCCGATTACAAGAAAAACTGCTAACTCTTCAGCCACGATCGCCCCTATAGATGGATTACTGGTCCCACTTTTATATCTACAGTAGTAACAACCTCACCAATATAATACTAGACTCAAAGGGACAATTTGCTGACATAATGGCTGAAAATTGTGCTGTCACTGTCACACTGACAGTAACTCAGCTGCTGGGCCATCTACAAGTACACCATCCAGGTACTTGTAGAGTACTTTTATGTAGTGTTACCTAATCTGCAGATGATGAGGGAGTAAATGCAATTTGTGAATCTGAATGTCTTCAGAATATAGAAGGAAAGCAGAAGATATAAGCTTCACACAGAAAAGCTATTAAATGAACAGAACAAAAGTGGACGTTGTTCTTAAACCAATCATTTACGAGCTGATGATCAGCTCTGTGCGATCACCTTTATGACAATGAATTGAGCTTGCTTGGTGGGTCATCTTGGTGGGCCATCAGCTCTAGTGTAATAAATTTTAAGTGTTCTAAATAAACTTTATTGGCCAATAAAAATGAGAATATGTCAAGAGTGCAGAACCAGAAGCGACAATTTCAGTTTTAAAAAAAAGAAGAAAGAATAGAGGCCAGATGCCGATGCTACTTCTGCCAGCGTGGCAAAGCTAAGGGCGAGGGAGAGAATATTTCAGTGAGTGGATCATCCCGTCTTCACACATAATGCATCCCCAGTGTTCTTGCTGGCAGCCAGATAATCCAGACATGGGGAGCATACCAGGAAACTACCCCTGTCCCAGGACACACCTTCACCACCAGCATCTAGGAGCAGATGTCTGGGGTTGGGTGGGGCAGGTAGGAGAAGCTACATGGAAGCTGCAGATAGTGCTGTCAATAACAGAACGCACAGCTGTTTATAATATTCAGGTTAAATGTAAAATCTGTGGTGGTTATAGCTGGAGTAAGCTCTCATTCCCATCAATAGACTACTAAAGTAATAAAAGCCTGTTGTAAATGGAGCAGCACAGGTGTGGGGTTAGAACAGTTGATGTCAGAAAGAACTCCACCATGTGGTTGTCTCCGGGTACTCTGGCTTCCTCCCACAGTCCAAACATAAGCAATTATTGGGGTTAGCTTAATTAATATTTCTACATTGTCCATAGGTGTGACTGTGAGTGTGAATGCTTGTCTGTCTCTGTGTGATAGACTGCCGACCTCTCCAGGGTGTACGCCGCCTCTCGCCTTAGGAATGTGTTTACTGAGGTCACAAGTAAGCAAAGGAGGTGAAGGCTCCCTTGCCCTTTAGTTTAGGTGACTAGCCAAGCTTGATATTCTTGGCTGATAAACTTGCATTCCACCCTCTTTTTTTCAAATATGGTCACTTTCATAATGTAGAATCCAAAACCAGTGGGTTTGTCCATCCTTTAAACACTCTCAATTGCAAACTAAACATGAGCCAGTGTAGTTTGACCTGTTTTAGTCAAATCATCCACAGGGAATGGTCTGGAGGAGCTTTTTACATCTGTAATTAAGCTTTGGCTTAAACTGAAAACGTCCAGAAACCACACCCAATAAGTTGGTGTTAATAACCACTAACGTACACTCTTATATGTCCTGAAACATTCATATTACAGAGGTCAGCTACAGTAAACTTACACAACACCATTCCTTAAAAAGTATTACCAGATCATTGGACTCAAAGTGATGCCAGTTTGCTGTTTAATGTGGCAAAGCCAATATATTCAATTGCAGACATGCAGCAGTAATTACACAATATGACAAACACGTACAAGATAATTGCAAAAAGATGTTTTGTTTTTGTTTAATTAAAAGTACTTTTTATGTGATGGTTAACAACATTTTGAAACCTCCAGTTGGTGCATATTTTATATATTTGAGCCTTTTTTACAGATATTTTTAAGCCTTAAATAACTGAGAAATGGGTATGGTGATCTTTTACTTACCAAGGGTTCTAAAGGGCCTCTGCTGGGGCACCAAGGAGAAGAATCCTGGCTTAAGGGCATTTGTGATAATGATGTCAAATAGTTCCTCAAAGTCCTTCCTGTAACAGCCAGAGAAAACTCTTTAGACTCGACAACTCGTGGAAAGCATCCAAGTACACAAGTGCACACAGTGAGGCTGAATGAGCCTAAACCAGGGGTCAGCAACCTGCGGCTCTTTAGTCCTTTTAGTGCCGCTCCGCGTGGTTTGGGAAAATAAATTATTTTTTTTAAGTAATTAGCTGAAGTGTATTTTATTTATGCTAGTTCTTTTTTAACTTGTAGTTCTAAATTGGAAGATTAATGTGATACTGAAATATAAATATAAAATTATATTCTATTATTTTTTGATCGCTCAAAATAAGCGTCACACTTGCGGAAGCCGGTATACCCGCCGAAACGCCGTGCATTTATCAAGACTTTCAACCCCAGGTAGGCCAATTATGGATCTTCGGATCCACATTATGTCAGCAGCTAGATTTGCAGACGCTGTGCGCAGAGGTTCAGGAGCGGAAGTCCCATTGTAAACATATCACGGCAGACCAGAGATGTTTCCATGAACATGCTTTTTAGCATCTCTTTATTGACCACTTCTCACACATGGTTGCTGTACGCATACAGCCGGGTGTAGCTTTGCAAACCACTCCCCGCCACACACATTAACCAGGTAAAATACATATTTAGGCAGAATTTTGCAAATATATATTTTTCATTTTTCAGCAGCATAGTGCTTTTATTATTAATTATTTTTTTAAAAGTCAGGTCAAGGCTCCAAAAGCCCAAAGGCGATATAAGGGTGGCGGCTCACAACAGTTTTTGTTTGCTACATGGATCATTTTAGTTCAGCTGGGTGTCTTTCCTTTTGTTATTTTTCTTTAAGAGTTCAAAATGTGTTAATTACATAAATAAAATGTAATTTTCTTTGTAGCACTTCATGGATTTAAGCAACACACGTTAGTTGTTCACACAAACCATAAAAGTAAAAAAAAACAAAAAAACAATATATACAGTGTTATCTTCATTTTAGATGTCAAAAAGTATTTGCGGCTCTCAGTGATTTCTTTTGCTTGGAAATCGCATCCAAATGACTCTTTGGGTCTTAAAGGTTGCTGACCCCTGGCCTAAACAATCAGTACAGATGACAGAAAACACAGAGCAATAAACAGTGAAGAAATGCAGACTAAAGTAAACACCAACCTACAGTCATGAGGACTTTAGTATACATGTTTATGAGGAAGAATCTTCCTTATAAGGAGAGAAGCCAACAAGTAGCTCATGAAGCAAGACAGAAATATTAATGGGAAATATGTAAACTGTTAACTCTGACGTAGTGTGTGCCAAGCTTTAATTGCTTCATGATAAAAGTGCTCATTATAGTACAGTACAGTATATAACTGTGGCAAACATGGGTTTCTGCACATTTTAACAATCATAATTCAGAACTCAAAAGTCTACTTGTACTGAAAAAAATATTAATATGATTGTGATCCACACTTTGCAACTATAACTGCTTTAGCTCTTCTGGGAAGGCTTTCCATGAGGTTTAGGAGTGTGTTTATGGGAAGGTCAGACAGTGATGTGTGACTTTGGAAAAGGAAGGGCCATCCCCAAACTGTCTACACTGGGTCAGGGACAAGGAGTTTAACCCTTTCATGCATAGTGGTCACTACAGTGGACAGCTATTCAAAGGCGGTTTTCTTGTATTTGTGTCTGTGTTGACAGTACACTTGCATATAAACCACTACATTGGACACTGCTGTGTCACTCCATACCCTGCCACTCACTGGGTGACAGGGTTATATTTGTTATATTTGTTACATATATTGTTATAAAATATATTTAAAATATATATAAAAAAATATTTTTGTTATGTTATAGTTCTTTCACATTTTATATTATTTAGTAGTTTGTCATAAGTCAAAACGTGGACATGTAAAAACCTCTTTGAAAAGTACATGTTTAAAAAAATTAAGTTAAATTTTTTTTAAATTCCGTTTTGGCTGCTCATATGACCCACTCCCACATTAGCCAAAGAAAATGGATAAACATCTCAATTTTCAGTATTTTATATAAACCATAAAACATGCTTATATAGTCAGTGGAATAAACAGAATCATGAAATGGTGCTATTCTTCTGATGAAAAAAAAAGTCTTCATCCAGTTGTACCAAATAGTAATGCCCACTTCACAGGACAGGTTGGTCAGTATTAGCTTGTACTCTCCTGTTGGACAGAGCTGGCTTTCCTGTGCTATTTCTGACAGCCTCGTGTTATTGGTGTTCAGCCACTATTTCCCACACTGCAACTACTGTGGGCCAGTGACAATTTTCTCTTGAAAAGGACGGTGGCATGATGACAAAGGAGAAGCCCCGTTTCTCAATAAAGTGCTTTCGTAACATGTCACACATCACATTTCCCTGGAAGAATACACAAACTTCGGCTGTAAGACAACCAGGAAGGATGTTGAAGCCAAATACCTCAATCAGCACAAACACTCCTCCCTAAACCACTTCAGCCTAATTTCTAAGTCTTATAACAGAAATCTGCTGACCTTGTAAAGGTCTGAGTGTGTGTTTGACACACTGGCTGAGTGTGTCAAACACGCACACTTAGCCAGGCCTCTGCTTTCTGTGGAAGACGACAGGTAATGGTGTAAGAGGAGGGCATCCAGAGCAAAATGGCTTTAACCTGACCTCATCTGACCCCTGCTTTACTTCAGAGAAAACTTCACATGGAGCAACAGCTTCAAGCAATGGAGACTGAAAAAAACCCAAACTATCGACAAGGCCAAAAAAGAGGATAAGAGCCGACAAAGAACAAGAAGGGCTTATCTAAGTCCAAACACATCAGCAACGTGGACACTGTGTTGTTTCAAGGCCCTGTACTGCTGCTTGATCGAGTGTGAAATGGGGCTTAGGCTACAAAAACAAGGCTCTAACCACACTTTGTATAGTGCAGACAGAGGGAAGCTGGTAATGCACAAAGCCAGTGATTTGAACAGTAGCCCCACCGCTACAATTTAAAAACACAAACCTCATCAGCATCCTGCTGGGTAGGTTTAGAAAGGTCAAGGATGAGTGAGTTGAATGAAAAAAAGAATAGGTTAAAAACCCTATTTGGGCTGTTATGGTAAACAAAGCAGATGAGATTCCAGCTTTGTTAATGGAGGTGCCAGTGTGAAGTATCGGTGTGGGCAGTCTTACCCCAGGATGTGTTCACAGATGAGCCTGCAGTAGTCGCTATGGGAGCTGGTAATGAGGAGCAGAACCTGGCCAGCATTTTTCATGCTGCGCAGCCAAGTCTTGACAGAGTCGGAACAACGCTGCAGGTACTGGCCCGGATCCCTCTTCACACTTGGGAAGTATGTCCCTGCATCATCTGTGGGGAAACACAACAGTAGTTAAGACAAGTGCACGCTATGTAAACAAAAGTGACGCTGCTACTATTTCACATTCAGATTTCCACAATCTGACACACCTCGACAGAGACTCCAGTAACAAAGCTACAATAGTTATTTACTATGGTAATAGTTGATTACTGTAGCTGTGAAGCACTACTACCATGCCGCTTGGGGCTTCCTATTACACACTGAGTGTTTCTTTTTCACTCTCCCTATGTTCATCATTAGTTAGTGTTACTGTGGCTTTTGTCTTGTTTCACTCTCTTCATCTTTTCATCTCCAACTGATCATGGCTTTGCCTCCCTGAACCTGCTCAGTTAAAGGTTTCTTTCTTTTAAAAGGGCGTTTTTCCTTCCCGCTGTCACCAACTGCTTGCTCAAAGTGGGCCATTTGATTTTGGGAGTTTTCTCTATATTATTGTAGCTTCTTTACCTTACAAGACAAGACAAAGCCCACTGAGGCCACTATTGTTGTAATGTAGCGCTATACAAATCAAAGTCAACTGAATTAACTTGAACTGAACTCATCTGTTATTTACAGTCCAATGCTAGAACACCCTCAGCTGCTGAACATAACAGCATTTCCCTACTACACACTGACCATCTCATTAAAATTGATCCCCATTGTAACATACGTGTAAGTTACAGTTGTGTCATAGAGCTAAACTGACAGCATGTTTCTGAGTGGCTAACACAGGTCTGTTTTTGGTCTGCTGTACCATCATACAGTGCAAATGTAACACTATATGGAAAGTACCAGCTGTTCACAACCGCTAACGTAGTGTCCATTTTTAAACAAGTAAAAATTTTATTGTCTAATCTGATTTTTTAAGTAATCTGTGGTCACCTTTATCTTTTTACCTGATATAACACTTTAATAACAAAGGACAGCATGTTGACCTCCAGTTATGGTCACTTATTCTAGGATAAAATTCTTTCAGCTGCGTTAAAACTTTGATACAAGTAACTACCTGTAATGCAACGATGCAGGGAAACAACGAAACAAAGAAAAAGAAAACTGAAATCTGCTACCATAAATATGCCCGAGGAGTCTTTGGGTTACTGAAAGAAACCAGCACAGATGGTAATCAATTAGCTTCTTCGCATATTGTTGCAAAACCCCAAAAAAGCTGCAATTCTTTCAAAGACGGACATCAAAGGACACATGCTTCCATTTTTCCTCGTGAGAGACTAAACGTTTACAGATTGAGCAAAGAAGGCTGAAGTGCTTAAACTTTTCCACAATTTTTTTTCTGCTGAGCAAGCTTCAAAAAAACAAACAAAACTAAACACACAAAAACATGAACTATATTTAAAGATGCCATACAGAAAAAAAATAAAGTTCTCTTTGGAATCTGTGTTCACAAAAGTGGGACCTAAGGGTCATGGCCCTGCTTCTCCATCACTTCACTTCCTGTTAGTATTAACAATTCTGGCTCATTAAAACATGTAACTCAGTTATGTGTCTCATCACTATAAAAACCTATGAATAAAGCACGATATATCAAGAATACAGATACTGCCTGACAACACATAATACACATGAATACATATAATATTGCCATTCTGCATTGTAAAATGCAAAAATTGTGACTATTTGTAGACCCAATGAATTCTACAGACAAAAGACCTCACAGTTCTGTGATGGAATTGACATAAAGGCAACAATATACAAACAGAAATATGAAGCAGATGGTATTTGCTGACAAACTTTAATAGAAGCTGTGTTTTTTCTTTTGCAAGCAGAAGAAAAAAGAGCTCCATTCTACTTATAGTACAGTACTTATCTCTATAAGTTAATACCATTTTTAATATCCTGATATCAGCACCCTCAGCAGACTACCTGACACAGTATTTATAGCAGCAGTTCCAAATTCTTTTCTGTTTAGGTCTATTTTTTTTAATCTGACTAAATAAATAGGTATCTAACAACTACTGCATGTTATGGGAATGATATGGGTGAGCGGTTTCTCAGTCCTGCACCAAGTCTAAAATGTTTGGGCATGCTGGCCTCCAGTGGCCAAATACAGGACTAACATGGAAGAGTAAAAACGCTCTGTTTTTTTCCAAAAAAGGCAGTACAGAGGTCTAAACAGAAGATGGTGACAAACACAAACAAGCAAAAAGGGCTCATTTATCTGGTTTATCCGGTCAGTGAGAACCTCAAATCCACATTTTTGAAAGTGTTCCAGATGCAAACATTTAAAAAAAAATCTTGTCTGAAGTTTTAATTGCATCCACAGATCCTTACACCTTCAGCTAAACAGCAAAAAGGGGTCTCAACGACCATGGCTGCTCCTCAGGAAGCACAAAGCCCGTCTTGCCTCATTACTCACAGTCAGGGAGGTCATCTGTGGGGGGTTAGGGGAACTCTCCTAGCAGCAAGATTCCATGAAGTAGTTACATGTGTTTAACAAACATTGACCCCACCAGATTTCAATAACACGCCACAAAGATTCAGAGATGAAGATGGCTAAAAAGATGATATTGGATTCCTTATCCAATACCAGCCACAATAAAACATCATAAAAGCACGTGGTAGTTCTGCTGTAGGTGGTAAATAGTGTCCTGTTGCTAGATCTAGGGAAATTCTGAATCCATAGTGTCCAATTTAATCAATATTAACAGATAGTGCAAAAATTTATTTGCAGATATACATGCTGACCACAGACGCTGGTCATATATCGCCTCTTTTGCTGATATGTCAGTGTCAGTCAATACTGGCTGACAGCAGCAGACAGTTGATATATCAGCACATCCCTATAGAGATCAACACTTCCACCCATTTTGCAATTCATATGAACAAAGATGCTAAAAAAAAACAAACACTCGAGTGTGATCCCAGAACAGGATGATAGCCACAGCTGAGTGCTGTTTTGTTTTGTTTTATTTCTTTCTGTCTCAGTGACACCTCCCAAAAACAACTCGGTATTTTCATTTCACAGACGCTCTATATTTTGTTCTATATGTCCTCAGCCCTCTGTCTGCTTCCAGGCAAATGATTTAAAGCAGAGAAGCAAGCGAAGAAGCAAACCAGAAGTCCCGCAGAGAAGCGCATATTTAAAATGCTGCTCTGGCACCACTGTGAGGCTACTACAGTGTGTGTGTCTAGCTGTGAATATAGGACTGAAGTGCCCTGAGGCCCAGCAGGCCTGTGCCTGGGCACTGCACTGTGCAGGCAGGCGCCAGGCCTGCATAACTGAATAGCTGCCCAGTGAAAGAAAACCACGACCTGCAGCAGGTCAATCTCTTTGATACATCAAAGCATCCTGACAGGATACACAAATCAACAGTAGCAGTGGAAATTAGGGCAGAGAACATGAGCATTTTGCAAACAGCCACACCAAAAGTGATGAGGGGGCACAATCTACACGTTCATTTATTTTCTTTATCCCCCCAGCAGGAAAGATAAAGGCTAAGAAAACAAATGTGAGAAAAGATCCATTTACTCTTTTTCTCATTATACATAATGAACATCAATCTCTGTATATACACTGTATAAAGCACATGTACTAAATCTCTAAAGGGAAGGTATAATCTACAGTGTTTTGTCTTAAAAAGGCATCCAGACAAACAGCATTTTCCAGCACCTGTTGGAACCACGTGGAAAAACTGGTCGGGCCATTCTGTCTGTGGACTTTCCATTTTTAGCAGAACAACCACAAATTGCTGCATCATGTCCCTTGCACACTTTTTTTCCCCTTTCAGTCGGTGACAGTGGAGCTTCACTATCGAAATAACACTCGTGATAACAAAAAGGCAATATACTCTAAAAACAAAGCTGTCAAAAGGAGGTTCCAAGTCCACAAAAAGTTTCACGTCAGGTCAAAAAGCCAATCTTTTTGACATTTCTTGCTTTTTTTGACATTTTAAGTCAATTAAACTGTTCATCCTCTCTACATGAAGGTACAGTGGGGCAAAAAAGTATTTAGTCAGCCACCGATTGTGCAAGTTCCCCCACTTAAAATGATGACAGAG